ATAAAGAGGTCTTCAAACCACAAGTTGTTTTGTTTCGTGCTTGGCGTCATTTTGGAATACACACAATATTTCTTGCTAGAGAGACGCCAATGTCATTTGACTTTTGCCGCGCTTGATTGGTTCGAAGTTGACATCGCGGTACTGAAATGAGTCGCTCACTTACGCTTCAAATTTCAGAACTTAACAGCGATGAATTGCTGCTTAACGCTTAGTTATTTGAACAGTCCAGACAACTTTTCCAATATACTAGTTCATCCCTGCGAATCTAATGTAAGTTAAGGACGTTCGCGCGAAAATTTTCCAGTCGGTAGATTGTTTTAAAATTTTTACTGCGCATGCAGTCAGATGATGAATTACTTGTGTCAGAAATGCAAAAAAAAAATTGGGGTCACCGACTTTGTTTCACAGATATAGCGTGTGGAAAACTACCCTGATTTTGAAAAATTGGCGCACTTAATTCAGCACGGTCTACAGGGGTTTAAAGTTAAAAATATCGACGGTGAGTCAGCAGAGGCAAACGATCTTAGTCATATTTTGTAGAAGTGGGTCTGTTGCGTAAATAATTCGAAACGTTACCAACGTTTTCACAAAACAACCCTTCAAGAGGCATTTGAAACCGTCGCACAGATGAACGAAGAGTCAAAAAGAACGGAATTTGATGGTGCATTTTGCAAAAACTTCAAACTTCTAATCGATCGATAGATTTTCTTCATTTTTTCGCTAAACATAAAAAATCGGTAGAGAAAATTATGCATCAAAAGAAAAATAGGGTTAGGGTTTACCTAACGCTAAGCCCAAAAAGTTTTGTCTGTGGGCGAAATTTTAATGCTTGGAGTGGGTTTCAGTTCGTAAAGTTCTGGCTAGTTCTCATCGATCCCGCATTGTGGGATTCTTCTTCCAATTCGACTTATGTTTCTTCATTGTTATTTGCCTGATAGCATGAAGAGTTTGTCCTCCGGGTGTCCTCAAGTTCGATCAAGATGAGGATTTTCTCGCGGAGGATT